CCCGTACCACGTATCGGATTTTGACGTACTAAGTATAAGGTTTATCTATACTCACTAAGGTACTTTAAAGTATACTACCGTACCAAATATACCTGTACCAGTACACATTTTTCTTGTACAGAGTATCGAAAATACTTGTACTAACATATAGAACCTGTTTTTCTGGTAACAGCAATCTTCCGTGTGGTCGGAATTCCATTACGAAAACCCCACAAAAACACTTTTCTAAACTTATTTTTATCATTTATCAAAAAATTACACTTCTTCTTTCAAATCCTCTCTTCTGCAGGCATATATGCGTTTATGTAAAACGACATTCTTTATATTTTTGTGTACAGAATATTTGTCTAATTGACGTTTACAAAATTTTTATTCCGATTAAAAAACTTGTAAAATATAAATGCATAAAATAAGTATCGAAATACATTTTTTGTATAACTGAACACTGATATGGTCAAAATTAGACTGAACCCTAGTGTCAAGGAAGCAGTGTTATATAAAGAAAATTAAATTTGATTTTTGAATGTGTCCACGTTTTGAGAAACAGTTTATTACTCATGAGGCTCTAGGATTATAAAGGTGGATCAACCACCAAGCTAAAAACGTAGGTAAAAATTAAAGAGTCGTATAACTCATACTACCTAACAATATTTGTAGGTAAGTCTTACAAGAGACGTAAAAATTTTGAAAGTATAGTTTTCAAAACTATATCGTAAAACAAAGAAGATTTTAAAATGAAACGTGAAACAAAATGTTTTAACATCCTACAATATTATTTATTCTATTCAATTTAAAATAATGTCATTTAAAAGTATTTTTAACCAGTACGTAGTTAATTCTAAAAATATCATATCAAAATTTTTCTCTAAAAAGAAGTTATCAATTGCAGAATAAAGATTTCCTTTAACACTTTTCCGTAGAGTTGAGTGTTCTTTGATCAGCTTTTCCAAATTTGATACACTGGTTGTATTCCCTAGAGTTATACTTTCTAATAAAACAGTTAACTCATTCACTATAAATTCCTTGCACTTATTAACTAGCGTTGCTGCACAGTCGATATGGCCCAGTCTTTTATCCACATGTATGACAGCTTGAGTAAGTTTTAAAAAGGTACCGTATTGCATGACAATGGTTGAGCCGTACGTTTTCTTTTTTTTCTTATTTCCACGTTGTCCGTCGCCAATTTCATTTTTACCAAAAATTATTGATTTCATTCCGTAAGATAATGTGAATATCAACTCGATATTACACAATTGTATGCGTTCCATTTGACTAATGTTTTTTATCGTTAAAGTAATCATTCATAGAAGCAAAATGATTCTTACGCTGACTCCATACATGTGCATTTATAATTACACCTCCTGTAAACTGACATTTGGAAAGCTGCAATAAAGGATCAAAACACTGACGATTTGCATTATAATGAAGCCCTACGACGATTTTTTTTGTAGCCGTATTGTTATATATGGGTGCAGCGGCGGGTCTACATCGGAGAAGCGCGGGGCTGATAACTTTTCCGTCTGCTTAAAAAGGGCAGCGGGTAAAGCGAGCGCGAGAACGGTTGAGTGACGAGGAGAGTAATCGAAAGGCATTACTCTCGGGAAACATACATTTGCCCGGCTCCCCTTGGAGATAGAGAAAGAGAGAGAGGCTACCTATGCTGAACCTGTATGTATATATACATATGACTGGGGGTAGGTACGGTATTGCATCGCCGTGTCGAGCTGTTCGGGAAAAAGAGGGAATCACGTTGACAAGAGAAGAGCGGCTACATTAATTACCAGCCCTCGAGGCTATACTGATCAATCTCATTTTCTTTTCATCTTAGCTATGCTACCTGTATATGGGGAGAATCACGTCAACTGTCCCAGCGCCGCGGTGGACGGCCCGCGCGGGCGTCAAACACGACGTTTTCAACTCGTCGTTTCGGTGTCAAAACTTTGATAAAAAAATTATCTAAAAACATATTCTTACGTATTTTTTCCTCAGCTTTCCAGTGGTGGCATCAGTTTTTCGAAAATTTGCTCCCATAACCTCGAAAAATGCACTTGTTTGAAAAACACGTTTTATCTCCATGATCTTCAACTTTTGGAATTTTTTTGATAGTCTAGATCGAAAGATGAGACATTTTTACGTAGATATCGACAATAAAAAAAGAGGGGTTTTTCGTTTTTATAACGTATTTAAACGACGAACGAGACGATGGGAGCCGCGGCGGCCGGGCCATGCGCGGCAGGAGCGCGCCGTCTGCTACCGTCTCTCTGACTGGATGTAAACAAATACACCTAACCGTGACGGTTTGCACTTCGCAACAAGTTTCGATTGATTAATTAAATGTTAGTATTTATTATTTTTATGACTTGAGGTTGTGCTATCGTAAGTCGAAGTTTTCGTAGGTTTTACTGCAAAGAAACGAAGGTTTTTTTAGTAGCAAATCTGACTACGAAGAAACTTCCTTGAGATTAAAAGACGAAATTTCCAGTGCGAAACTGATTCCAGGGACACTGAATTATCATGCGTTTATCCCCATTAAGGATAATAAATTAATGTTGAAGAAAACTTCTTTGAGTAACCAGTATGAAATTTTTCCGAAATTGAAAGAACGTAAAACAAGTGTCACTTCGATTACCATGCCTAAAATGAAAAAGAGAACGAAGTAAAACAAATTTGTTTTTATTTTTTACTTTATTTATGTAAATATCTACTGTTTAATCAATATTAATCATTATTTATTTCTTTATTATAAAATTGTTGTATATATGAATAAATTTTATCAAAACATTTATTATTTATCCATTGTAAGCCCTGGTTAACTAATTGTTGTTTACATCGCCACTACTACATTATATATTATATAGCCAAACAGACTCACCGTAGCAGACGACACACGGCGGACGCGCTGCTGCCGCGCGTGGCCCGGCCGCCGCGGCTCGCATCGTCTCGTTCGTCGTTTAAATACGTTATAAAAACGAAAAACCCCTCTTTTTTTATTGTCGATATCTACGTAAAAATGTCTCATCTTTCGATCTAGACTATCAAAAAAATTCCAAAAGTTGAAGATCATGGAGATAAAACGTGTTTTTCAAACAAGTGCATTTTTCGAGGTTATGGGAGCAAATTTTCGAAAAACTGATGCCACCACTGGAAAGCTGAGGAAAAAATACGTAAGAATATGTTTTTAGATAATTTTTTTATCAAAGTTTTGACACCGAAACGACGAGTTGAAAACGTCGTGTTTGACGCCCGCGCGGGCCGTCCACCGCGGCGCTGGGACAGTTGACGTCATTCTCCCCATATATGCGTATATACTTACCTACGTATAAAGTATACGCTTTGCCATTTTTGTCCCATTTCCTTATTCCATCCTCCCCCCCTCTCTTTTCTCAAACTCTCTTTTGCACATATTATAGGGAAGAAGAAAAAAGAGGAAAAGTGTTTTATCTCTGTTTTAAAGGACATTTCTCCGTTGAACCGATAAAGCACCGATTTTCCCGTTCGATGGCACCACTTGAAAATTCTGCACCTCCTCCACTTACTGTGAAACACGTATATAGGTATGAAGCAACGAAAGAGCTGTAATAAAATACAAAAACAACGGACAAAAAGTGGCTCTCTTTCTCTCTCTCTGCGCGTCAGGGTATATGATTTTTCACTTAGGCGTGATTTTACCCCCCCCCCCCCCCAAAGGGATCTTTGGACCCATAAACATAATCCTCGGCCCTGATATCTCTCATATATATACCGTCGTGACTGTATACGCATAAGGCACACTCTTAGGTGTCGGTTCTTCGGCACTTATGCGCTCACTGCAGATAAGAAATTTTCCCGGGCCCCGATCTACCCTCGAAAGAATATATTTTAACCCAACTCCCATACACACGAGTGGGGTATAAAAATCGCAAAGTCCTCTTATCTCGGAGAGCCGCGCGACAGAGCTAAAGCTCCCTCTGCGCGTCCCATAAGCTCATTAAAACAAAGTTGCGCGCCATATCCGATACACACACCCACACCACGAGCCATCGATGCGCCAGTGCTTGTCTCTCCCCCTGGTGGGCGAAAGCCGGTCGCATACCGATATACCGGCGAATTGGTTCAACTTCCAGACGCGCCGACACCTCCGTCATAGGCGATGAGTGCTTTACCCCGCGATCTGCATCATCGTACGAGCTTACGCGTGTCGAGCGATCGTAAGCGGCTGAGGTGATATAGAGTATATACACTAGTAGGGCTAACGCCCCCCTGCGCGCTCCGCGCCAACCCCCCACAAACAGATTGAGTAGACAAATTAACGACATTAGTCGTGTATTTATCAATGCAGGCTGAAAATTAGTTCTCAACAGCAGAATACGTGACTCACACAGAAGTTGATAAAACATATGATTAACTTAACATAATTAAATTAACATAAATATTAATTTTCCAATAGTATTTTAAAATAATATTAAAGACGGTTTTCCATTACACCAATTAAAATTAAAAATAAATGCTATAGTAGTGTTAATAAGAACTTTAAGTATATCAGACGGTCTCTGTAGAGGCAGAAGATTAAAAATAACAAAATTATTTAAGTATAATATAGAAACAGAAATAATTATGGAAGAAAAAAAGCAAAGTTTATATTCCTAGAATAACATTAAATTCTAGCAACTTATTATTATTACCTTTTGTCTTCTATAGAAAACAGTTTGGGCCTCTGTGTATATACGTACAAAACCGCTGCCACAGCGTGTGTACATTTTTGCTCTTTTGCCGGACAAAAATATCACACGACATTGCCCGAGAGCAGTAATAAAAGCTCTTCATCTCATACTTCTTTGCCTCCTAGCGTTGTTTTTTCCTCTCAAAGTCTCCCTCGACCGAAAACCCTCCCCGACTATACTCTTCAACCATACAACCGTATATATACCAATAGACGTATTTGCCTTTATTCCAAAAACCGTTGATTTTTTTTTTCTTTTTTTACACAACGTATATATGTATATGGACGGTGGTTGAAACACTCAAAGCCTGAAGTATATTTTCTTCCGGTGCAGCACGTAACCCACCAGAGTCCAGAGTCCCACGCACCAGATCGACTCGGTTAGCAGTAGCGCGTGGCTGTTCATGCGCCCGATTTTCCAGTGAAAGGGAAACATCGACCAAAGCACCTGGTGGCCCGCATACATGACGAGGGCGTTTATACCTGTTGGGTAACAAGGGACCATTATGGTATACATTGTAACTCGTTATGGTTTAACCAACCTGGTATCCTGAAGGGGCCACCTTGCCACGCGCCGGTCACGTCGATCACCAGGTAAAACACCGACAGGAGTCCCAAGTTGAAGCACGTCGTTATCATGACGGACGACAGCGACCTGCACGTACAGTATACGACCACATAAATATGTTGTTGTAGTCCATATTCCACTATGATTGAAAAAAAAAAAAAAAAAACGTACCACAGGTTCTTGTTTATGGGAATGGCACCAGTGTAGTGCAACGCCCCGGCGACGAGGCCGTAGACGACGGCCCACGAGAGCCACCTCAACAGCCGACCCTTCCAGGCGCGGTGCGCCTTGAGTATCTGCCCGGCGTGCATGCCCAGGAACACTTGGAATATCGACGGTAGACAACCTGCGTGGACATGATGACATATAGTATTCATACAGGCAAAGACTTGGGTGATATATACGTACCTACGACGCTTTCGGGATCAAAGGCTCCGGATCCGTAAACGCCGCTGGCCATGGGATGCCGGTAAACGTGTCGCTCGCCCAGTAGGATACTGTCGAGGTAGCCCGTCGCGCCGCCCGTGCAGTTCCAATATTTGCCGTCTGCGTAGAGTCTCCCGGGGCCAAAGTAGCCACTGGCAAATATTTTTCAAAGATTTTACTCTCTCCCCTTCTAAAATCTCGTTATTATTTTGTAAGTAAGTATATGTACTTTGGACAATCCGGAACGGGCAGCCGCAGTACAATAAGACAGTGCGCCGCAAGGACGAGGAAAGCTACCACCCACTCGGGCAGCATCACCATCACGTCTGCCAATGATGACCTCTACGGGGGGAAAACAAATAGATTGATGATCCTTGATGTGTCTATTTATCGATCATTATCATTAATCGTACCTTCCATTTGGTCGCGGTGTTTGGCCGGAACGCGAGCGTGTGGACGGTGGCCGCGACCAGGTAGGCGACGCTGAACCTCTGCAAGACGCCGAACACTCGAATGTCCTCCAGTTGGGTGTTGGCCAGTGTGTTGAGCGAGACACCGATGAAAAACAAGTAAAAACTGTGCTTAGGAGAGATAAAAAAATAAAGTTGAATTTGCGTCAAACAGCGATGGGAGTATATTTATATACCTTGAGGATATCCCAGGAAAGTGCGAGCTTTGAAGTCCCGCGGGACAGGGCCGAGGAAGCAGACAATGGAATGCTGACTCGGGTGCTTCGATCAGTTATGGATTAATTTTATCACTCTCGGTTCTACTCCCCGCTGCCACTGTACTCTCTCTCTCTCTCTCTTTGTAAATATGAATTTTATCGCGTTTAAAAGCTTTCAATATTTCCAGTTCCATTTGGCCGGTTACGCGCATATTATAATATATTAGTGAATTTTCCTCGTCATCATCATCATTGCAAATATGGTTTGCCAAGCAATTTATGATACAAAACGTATAAAAGCTGGCGCGTGTATATGGAACTCCTTTATTTATATGTATGTACAAATTCAATATACCAGTATAGATCCCATGGTTGGGGGGGGGGGGGTGAAACGAAAATAAACCGTAACAGAAATCCTTGTTCGCGCGCGCGTGGCGCGAGAAAAACGAAGGAGAATCACCCCTCGGCGCTCGTCAGCATTAGCATCGCAGAGGAGTGGAGAGAAGAGTCTTTGCACTTCTTTGCATAATTAGAATACTCGCTCGCTCGGCAGCAGCTGCACCGAGCAATGCAGTAGTCGCACCTGTCTCCCTCCCCCACGTTTACCCCGTTCTCCGCACGGCCGTGCCCAGACTGATAAATGAACGAGTCTTGGGTGCAGACCTCAAGTGTATAGGCCGCTCGCACGTAGGTACTCTCGTGTACGCGCATCCATTATCAGCGGCTCTTGTTTGTGTATATTCCCCTATGCCGAGGTGAAACGACAAAGTGAATGCACCCATACCGAAAAGGAAAAAAAAAACAACTTTTTTCCATACATCCGTACAGATACGTAACTTGTGCCATTTTTTTTGGTTTTTTTTTTTTTTTTTTTTTTTATTGCTTCATACACCAAAGTGATGATTTCTCACGGTCCGTACATATATATCTACCGCATAACCTATACTCGCCGGTGTCGTTGGGCCGGCCGGTAAATAATGGCCCCCGAGGCAGGCCCCTCTGTCCGTGTATAGATATGGTTTCTTCGGTGTGCGTGCAGTCACAGAACGGCGTCCATGTGTCATTGGAAGGCATTAACGTCCGATCGGATCGGACGTGCTTCGCTGGCCTTGCTCTCCTCCTCCTCTCCCTTTTTATTATTCGCTCGTTCGCCGGTGCCGTTGTTGCTCCTCTCCCCCCTGCGTCGTGCCCAACTAAATTATTGTCCCCGACAATAGCGCCCGTCTCCTCTCAAACTCCTCTGCCCGCTCGCGAATAGTAAGAACGGGGCAAGTTTTTTTTTTGCAAAAGTTGGCCCATCGATATAATATAAGTGTGTGCGGATACACGGGAGAGTGAAAATTGACGATTGGCCCTCTCGCGCGTGCAAACGAGAGAAAAGAGGAGTGAAGCATATCGGAGCTGAGCCCCATACGGCTCCATTAATGCCGTCCATATAGATATCCAGGGATCAGGTGTGTGGATCCATTCCATCAGGCCATACCGATCTGCCCTGCTCGTCTTGACGTTAATCAAAATACTTACCCGGAGCTGCGCTGCACTTTACCTTCCCCCTCGTCCCACTTGGTATAAAATATGCCGGATCACAACTTCCCTTCCATTTCGCGCGGCTGCGCCTTTTCTTCGGTTTTACAACTTACCCCCCTCGTTTCATCTCAATGGAGTATCTTTTTTTCTCCGTTCGCTCGTACACGTATGACGTATAATTTGCGACGCGCAGGTATGCCGGGGAAAAGTTGTACCTGCCTTTAACGGACCAAAGAGTAGGACTGTTTAGCTCGAGATATTTTCTGACACGAGCCGAGAGAGAAAGAGAGTTTTCTCGGGGAAAAAGTTTCGCCCAGGCCCTCGAGAAACTAAGCAGAGCAAGAGGAAGCAGGACCTACCGAGGCAATTATAGTTAGTTCCTGGAAAGGGGGTGGGAGTAAAAAGTAAGCGAGCAAAAGAAGCTGGACGCTGTACATAATGTAGCGGTGGAGGAGCCGACTTCGGAATTCTTTCCCACCCCTCCTCCCTGCACTTCATTTTTCTTCATCTTTCCGCAAGTACGTGTACAAGGCGTGGGGGTAAAGGGCCCACCCCCTCCTCCTCTCTTGGCTCGAGTCAGCTGGAATTCAAAGCATCCCAACAATGCACTCTCGTGCATACATACGTGTATGCCGTTTGAATGACGGATGGCGAGCTGCGGTGGCAATTAAATCAAAATTACGCAATGCTAACTCGCGTCAGGCCGCTTGTATGGTGGCACGCTGGAGGATTTTTTTTTTCCCTCTCTTTCTCTCCATTGTTCGGACTTTCAAATGGAGGCGAACAACGTGACTTGAATGTTTTGATGCTTCGGAAGTTGTATGATATAACTGGTATTTGATGACGGAGAATGTAAATATAGGGAAAGGGTGAAAATAAAAAGGGTACGCAGGCGCGCTGTTTCTCATAGTGTTTTAAAATATTTATTATTCAAAATCATTGAGTTTTCTCTCTCTCTATCTTTGAATAACTGTAAGATTGAGGTTTTTCGACGTCTCGACGAGTACGATAGTTTTTTTTTTTCCTCCGCCTAGGCGTCTTTGGCTGTTTTACATTTTAAGCTCGAAACCAAAGAAAAACATTATCGACCAACGTCATGTTTACATATATGCATATATATGTACGTGACGGCGAAACAACGCGTATACAATATAATATTCCATTGCTGGCTTATTTAGTGCGTATATTTACAATGTCTTATTGGTCTCTCATTAAAATCCAGCGACGTCCTTGTTTTTTTTTTTCTTTCTTTCTTTTTTTTTCGATAACGAAGATAATATACATACAAGAGAGATGAAAACGACATGCTTCATACGTGAAGGAATTAACGATGCAAAAACGACGCGGCGTTGGTTGAAGCTCGTTGAGAATATATATATTTTTTTTTTTCGTCCAATTATTCATACACTTACGCTCATACGGTTTTTTTTTTTTCACGCCATGGCGATTATAATTTAGATAAATCACGACAACGCCGGCAAGCACACTATTCGTCTCATTCTTTCTTCTTTAGTTATACGAAATTGGCACGAATCACTCGTCGCAATAATGATAACAACTCTGTCGAATCTTCGATGGCGCGAATCACGTTAACTCGAAAATCGTCAAGTTACGCTGTACCTATTATGTTATGTATATACGCCTCTTTATTGAATTCATATGAAATTTCATTTACTCAAAGCTATACGTAGCCCAACAACTTTCCTCTCTTTTTTCACTATGTATTTTTAACTTTTTTATTTTTTCCATAACGCTGCAAAGGTTTCAATGACTGTGTAGTTGATATCATGTATATAATATAGTATTACGCGTACCGCGTCTAAGCACCTTGTGTGAAAAAAATAAACTTCGAGTATACAATATTTTTCGATTATTCATCATTATCGTTTTATATATATATATAAAACGATAATGATGTTTTATATACGTATATATATATATGTATATATATATATATACGTATACGTATTTATCATAATTTATGTAACATATGTTTTAAAAGTATGTGCGTGAGCGTGTGGGTATATTTTACAGTGCACCGAGCCCACGAGCTCGACATTAGGTACAGTTCCGGTGAGGCTACAGGGTCTCGAGGAGGTTGCGGACCAGGAGCGTGGAGACGCCTCCAGCCTTGGCGGCCCTGTCGGTCTTTCTCGTCCTGGCGCAACCGCGCTCGCTGCACCGGGCTGACTGGTTGATGCCGTCCTGCTCCAGCTGCACGGAGACGCTGACCACCCGAGGCCTCGAGCCACCCTCGCACTCGCTCTCCTGCGGGACCGATGACATGTTAACAAAAAAACATACAAAAATCTATAGGTACTTTTCACCACTGCGACCCCTGGGGGATGGGGGGCACTTTTATGCTTTTATCCTGCTCTGCAGGGCGTGGCTTGTAAAAAATTTATACTTAAACCTAAGTAATGTAATCTTTTTAGATATTTTATAAAAATGTTACTCTAATGAAAATTATGGAATTCTTTACAAAACTTTTACATATATCTCAATAAAATAAGCGATCTAATTATCGAACTCCAGTTTGCAATGTCTGCAGAAATACGGCTCATCTTTCGCCATTTGCTTTTTGCTTATGCCTGCCCATTTCTTCTTTAGATGGTACCAACGCATGCACCTGTCGCACTGAACAGCATTCAGCGCCGGCGTTTTGCACTCTGGACAGCCCAAAACTCGATTTCTTTTTCGGAGTTCGGTTAGACGATGAAATGCCCCCGAATCGCAATACGTTTGTATTACGCTCAAATCGACTTGGGTGTCAAAAAAAATATCCGGCAGTTCCTCCAATGAGGCTACATCGGAGTATCTAATTGTTTGATTAAAACAACGTTGGGAAATGTAATCGAGAATGAACTGCTCTTCAAATTGAAACGCACTCATTAGTACGAATAGCTTCTGTTCCCACTCCATGTCTCTAAACGGTAAAAGTACTTTTACATTTCAAATGCTGACTGGGATACTTTCTTTATCACTCTGATTTTCTGAAATTTCAATCACAGAAGACCATAAAGTTTAAACATACCATTTATCTACATTAAAACTTCGTATTATTTAATAGCTCATGACATTAATTCACACATTAATAGTTATTACGGATAAATTGCTGAAAAGAAAAGTTCCCGTAGGAGTTACGGTTGACACGCATGAGTGGCAGGTGGTGCCAGGAATGAGTGTCAGTTGATTGTACAAGTGTGTACCACGATTAATGATGAAAAAGGCATGATTTAACGGCATAAGCCACGAGTGCGCCGGTAAAAAACACGAGTGTGAGAATCGTCCCACGCGAGTTGCGAACAAGATTTTTCGCGATACGTGTGAGGAAAATAGGATTAACTCTTTTTTAATACAGCCGCAGTTGTCCAAGTGATGCTTATTCTTTGAAGTTCATGTCCATATACACATGCATGCATATTCGCTAGGGAGATTAAAAAAAAAAAAAATTTCTTTGCAAACATGCTTACAGTTTCATTTTGGCGTAACTAGTATCAGTTAAAATTTTTACCCTTCGTACCAAAATTATTCAGATAGCCCGCATCGCATTTTCATTTTAATCTCAAGAATTATATTGGAGATTTTTATTTGGGATTTTGTGCTTCTATTCCCAGATTATCGTGCATCATACATAGTGTTACGTACGATAGCATATAGCTATGCGTGCGTGCGCCTCTGCTGGCTTGGGCCCGAAAGGTAGGGGAATAGAGAAGAGAGGTGATAGGAAAGGTAGAGAGAAGGGACAGGGAGATCAGCTAGAGACGCGAGAGGGTAAGGACGAAGTCCGCGAAACGATAATACATGCACAACTTCCCTCAATGATAAGTAATTCTAATAAAGCATAAGTAACAACAAGTCACGCTTCTATTTATTCCCGCACCGAGAATCCCACGTAACAGCTGGTGTCAGAAGTGGGATACAGATAAAAATTTTTTACGGTCTGTCGCGTGTGCGGAAATCACTTAGTCTCGCGGAACAAAAAAAAAATTTTTTAATTAATTTTTTCTTGTCTTAATTAACGTAATAAATAAAAGAAAGAAAAATAATATATCTCTCGCCGCAAAGAAAAAAGTGTCAAAAGTGCCGGACGCTAAATTCAGTGTGTCAAGTGCCACAATATAAGGAAATTGGAAAAGTAAAGGAGAACAGGAAGATATAATCGTAAAAATCTTCGATACTGCAAGGATACCAGACAAGGAAAAACTGCATATCAAGCCAGTGGACCAACATACCAGTACACTAGAGGCAGCTACCATTCACTCAACCCGGAAAAGTACAGACAAAGAGAAAAAAGCACGGTACGCCAAGCCCGGACTACAGCCACAGAACACGGGATACACGGCACAGGAGAAGGGAACAACGAGCGAAGGCAGAAGCTGAGCATCTCCAGGAAGGATCAAAGGCCCATAAGTATGCACGGGATCATCGTCATGCTGACCATCGTCACGGCGATCTGGTAAGTGAATTTTCATTACTCGTATATACTATACTCATAACCCCCGAGGGAAATACGCACCTAAAAGAAAAAACTTAAATATCGATATTATTTCTAAATCGCAATATCCTCAGACCTTAGCGGCAACCCATAATTGCATGCACAAGCAAATAACCGATACAAACGACAAACACCCCATACAAAATTTTTTAAATTAGTTAATAAATACAAGGAGCCAATCGAAAACAAAAACGAAAAAAAAAGACTATCGACTAAAACTCGATAGAGCGCGCGTATCTATCAGGTTAACACAAAGTACACAGAAACGACGGCGTTTTACGATTAGAAAAATATAAATACGAACTAGAAAAGCACAAGACAAACTACAGAAAAAAAAAAGACTTAAGAGCAACAATATGAGTGACGTAGAAACAAATGATACACTGGGAAGGGGAGTACAAGAAGCCGTGAGGTGCACAGATATACACGAAACAGGACCAATTGACACAGATGACGAAGTAATACAGATTAATTTAGAAGATGATCCGGAAACATGGACAGAGTGGCAGAAGGCCAGCAAAAAACAGAGGCTTTTTATGATGAAAATGTTAAGGAAACTAACGCCAAGCATCAAACGCGGACAGTTATCTCATAGACAGGACATAAGCGATAACGAAACTGATGCGCCATCCCACACAGAAACACATAGACCCCCCGTATTTGAAAAATTAACTTCATTTACCGAACGTGAAAACGCGACAACTGACATGAATCGACGAGTCACTAATCCACATAGCGATAAAACACAAGCCAAACACGACACTAATTTACACGATATAATAAGAGAAGCAGCGGCACAAGCGGTGCAACAATATACAAATCGAATACCTACACCTACACAACCAAAACATCAATCATCACAACAGACGTACGGAGAAGTTACACGGCGTCAAACACAAATGCGAACCCCAGTAGCTCAAGGCGAGCAAGAAATCGGGAACTACGGCATCACCCACAATACAAACCACGACAATAATTATTATAGACAGAACACAGCGGCACCACTTTATCCTGCAGGAGAGGACGAGTTAGGTTGGGCAAATAGAAATTACTTAAACGCCCAAGACCGATTTACAGTACCCCCACATTACACAGGAAATCCTAATTACGAACGCCCAATTCAGAACACACTGTCGTCACTAAGTCACCTAGCAGCAAACATACCGATATTTGACGGCGATTCCGTTAAACTACCCCTTTTCGAACAAATGGTAAGAGTGGTATCGTGGACGGTAAGCCCCGTATATGAAAAATTTTTTATAGGCTCACTAGCGAATAAGCTAAAAGAAGCAGCCGCCGAATTTATACCGCGCCTGGCACAGTTCTCATCTGTAGATGAATTCTTGGTAGAATTGAAAAATAGGTACAGCAGCATCGGAAGCGTCGACACGTTATTAGCAAAATTAAAAGTAGTGAAACAATACAGAGGGGAATTAGTAGAGGAATACAGCAGGCGCGTTCAAAAATTATACGATAGAATAATAACCCTATACGATTCGGACACGACACTATCACCCGGGCAACGACACGCATTAAAGGAGAGCGCTGAAAAAGAAGCTATAAAGCAATATACGTACGGGATACAATCACCTTACAACTACAGGGTAACATGCCTTAACCCGAAAACGTTAGGCGAAGCTATAGTAGCCGCGCTGAAAATGGAAAGCGACTTAAGCCTACGAGAAATAATGCTGGCACGAATCGAGGCCCAAATATACCAAGCGAGAGCAGAAACAAGAGATACGGACGATCGTGCGAGCAGCCATGAGCAGGCAGAAGTACGCGACACAACAGATAAAAATAAAATAACAGGGGACTATCAATATTGCTCATATTGCAATGAATACGGGGAACATGCCACAAAAGTATGTATGAAATTAGTAGCAGACGCAGCGAATAAGAGAATTCAAAACCCAGACATAAAAACAAATGATCCACCAGTGCAGGTATCACAAGATAAACAAAACGTAAGGGATAAAAATTGCGCTTACTGCAAACGCAGGGGGCACTATACAAGCGAATGCCGCACACTAGTAAGAGACGCAGAGAATGGGAGAATAAATCGGAGCGACGGACGCGAACAATTTAACAATAATAACAGGGAAAATACGGAAGGAAATTTTAACTACCGGAATAATTATAATTACCCCCCTAATACGTATAGTCAAAACTATAATAACGATTATAGAAGGAACCCCTATAACAATACAGGCTACAACAGATATAATAACTACAACAGAAACGCTGATTACTCAAGAAATAATAATAACAATTACAACAACCAGTACGGTAACTACAATAATTATAGAGGAAATTATAATTATAACAGAAATTATAATAGGGATGAAAATTATAACGACAGAGGACCTCCGAATGGAACAAATGATGCACCTGATGAAAAAATATCCACGCGTAGCACGGAACATTTAAACTCGCAGGACGCTCGTCGTGCTCCCCAAGCGCCGAGCGGGCCCCGAGAATAGAGAAGGAGATAGATCATAAAAACGAAACGGAGTCAGCTGAAGGAGAGGAGCAAGCAGAGTCAAATAAAATACACATCGCAGGTAAAGATAGTGAGACATCACGCAAAGAAAGGTATATGAGAAATGAAACAATTAAAGTATCGCTACAAACAGACTCCGAACAGGCTCCTCAAACGGCTGAGAATTCTCACAAAGAAAAAAGAATTGAAACAGAATTTATAACTAGTAGCCCTTTGGCTGGTAAAGAAAAAATCCATGAAAACATGAACCTACCTCTCCGCAGGGTAAATATATCGAGTACTGGA